GAGTGTTATCTTTCAGAGTCATATATCCTTCCAGGAGGTGGCTGTCTTTTTCACTGAAGAAGAGTGGGCCCTATTGGATCCCCATCAAAAAGCTCTGCATGTGGAGGTCATGCTGGAGAATTCAAAGAATGTGGCTTCTCTAGGTAAGGGCTCTAATTTATTCTGATTTGTACATATATTTTCTGTCTCCTCCTTTTCCTTTTAAGATATTCCAAAGCAAAACTTGTAGTTTAGTTTTAAAGCTGAGAAAATCTATTTCTCTGGGGGCCCGAGAATAAGGAGAGATTGATAAGGGTATCTTTAAATGTTTTGGCCATTTCTCATTTAAGATTTGAGAGAGCATTTTGGTGGATTTTTCAGTTTCTGTTAAATCTCACCAAGAACAAATTAATATACAGTATGTGCACTAGATGATGATCATGATGTTGGTCTCCATCCCATGTGGCCTCCTTGTGCCTTCCTTTCTTCGCTGCCAAGTTCATTTGGTCTTCATAAGTTGGCAAGTTTGTTTGCATGAAAGCAGCAAGACAGTTGGGGTGGGAAATTTGCAAGAATGTGGAAAGTTAGAACTGTGAATTCCTGTGAAGAAATTATAAAATTGTGCACCTGCTATAACCCTTCAAAATCTGATGTCTTTCCCAAAGGCCATCTTCTGTAGTAAACTTCTGAATAGATTGATTTTCTTACCTTTGTATAGCCTCATTTTAAATCTGTTCATTCATTCTAATGGGAATTGATCCAACATTTATATCATGGGTGGGAAAGGATGCATTTGTGTATTATGAAACAAAAAAATTGGCCCAACAAGGAAATAATGTTGGGTCAGAATAATAATTAAAGCATAATCTTGGTTTCCAAGTATAGAAAGAGGGGAAAAAAAGATTTGAGATTTTGGAGAAAAATCACAACTCACAGAGTGCGATTTTTCATGGGATTCCATGTTTCTCCCTTATTTTAATAGTTGTTCCTCTTTTTTTTTCTTCTCCCATGCAGCTGATGGACAAGAAAACAAGAATAATGAGAAGACAAGGATGTTGCCATTGCAAACAGTTAAGTACGAAGGGCAAGAAGAGGTGTTTCAACATATATGGGGACGAGAACAATGCGAGGACAACCAGTCAAGTGATTGGGGTGAGAGGTTCTCAACTACTCAAAGAGTGGACATACAGGACTTCCTGACGCAAGAAAATCATGAGGGAAAGAAAAAAGGAGAAAGTCCAGGGTATGGAGAACTGTTCAAAGATAAACCTGATATAAGCAAACATTGCCGAATCCACATAAAAGAGAAAACTTATGAATGCAGAGAGCATGTAAAGAATTATTATCAGAACTTCCCTCTGACTTTATATCAGAGTGTTTCCACAGAAAACAAACCATATAAATGCATGGAGTGTGGAAAAAACTTCAGTCATTCCAGTTCCCTTACTTCCCATAAAAGGATCCACACAGGGGAGAAGCCATACAAATGCATGGAGTGTGGAAAGAGCTTTAGACGGAATACTGACCTTACATCTCATAAAAGGGTTCACACAGGTGAAAAACCATTTAAATGTATGGAGTGTGGAAAGAGCTTTACTATGAGCAGTAATCTTACACTGCATAAAAGAATCCACACAGGTGAGAAACCATTTAAATGTATGGAGTGTGGAAAGAGCTTTATTCAGAGAGGTCACCTTACTTGCCATATGAGGATCCACACAGGGGAGAAGCCATATATGTGCATGGAGTGTGGAAAGACCTTCAGGTGGAGCAGTCACCTGCCTAACCATATGAGGATCCACACAGGGGAGAAACCATATAAATGTGTGGACTGTGGAAAGTGCTTTAGAGACCGCAGTGCCTTTCAATCCCATAGAAGAATCCACACAGGGGAGAAATCTTTAAAGTGCATGGAATGTGGGAAGACTTTCAGGGGGAGTACTGATCTTACAATTCATAAAAGGATCCACACAGGGGAGAAACCATATAAATGCATGGAGTGTGGAAAGAGCTTCAGTAGGAGCAGTCACCTTTCTTCCCATAAAAATATCCACCCTGGAGAGAAGCCATTTAAATGTATGGAGTGTGGAAAGAGCTTTACTCAAAGTTGTTACCTTACCTACCATAAAAGGATCCACACAGGGGAGAAACCCTATAAATGTATGGAGTGTGGAAAGAGCTTCAGCAGGAGCAGTCACCTTTCTTCTCATAAAAACATCCACCCTGGGGAGAAGCCCTATAAATGTATGGAGTGTGGAAAAAGCTTTACTCAGAGCTGTTACCTTACTTCCCATAAAAGTATCCACATCGGGGAAAACCCATAAAAATACTAGGAGTGTTCTGTATCTTGTACTTTTTAATTTTTTGTACTCTGCCTTGAGTGTTTATAGAAATAGAAAGGCATGGTATAAATGTAATAATGAATAAAAATAATTATTGCCTGAAGGGAATCAGTCTTTATATCTTCTGTGATCTATTGATGGGTTCTTCTTATAGTCTATTGGACTTTTGGAACAATCTCCAAATCCATAATCTCTCTCTCACTCAGTGTCCAGCTTTCACAGCCATACTTTATCACGGGGAAAACTATTCCCATTTTTTACTATGATGCTAAACTGATTAACAAAAGAAAAGTAAAAATATATTAGCAGCATTATGGAATTTAATTTCAGAATTGATAAACACATAATAATTATTAAAAAGAGAGGAAAAGAGGCCTGGAAATTATATGAGAAAGAAAATCAAAAGTTTGACCCTACTACTCCATTTTTTCTTTCTCCCTGTTCTCCAAAAAACAAAACAAAACAACAAAATTCAGATGTTGACAAACCAAACGTATCAACTATCCACTGCTGCAAATCAGATACTTGCTGCTTCTTGGAGTTTTGTATGATCATTCTTTTTGCCCAGCCATGCCCAAATTAAATTGTATTCCCCGCTTCATGTTATACAGTAAAATCAATAAAACCTTTCAGAATCACTTTAATTTTTTTTTAATAGATGGCCCTTCAGAGCTGCTTTTCTTTGCTCCAACTGGACTAAATTGCCATTTTCCCCTTCTCTTACATCTCTGAATGCAGATGACTCATTTTAACTTTTTTTTTTCTCCTACATCTTCTACTCTCCTCCCTAGAATATTTTTCTTTATTTTTCTCTAAGGAACTTGCCTTCAGGATCCCAAGATATTGAGGCTGCCTTAAATTCTTAGGAGGTCCTTTAACTTCCTGTTTGTGGAGCTTTTTCAATTCTTTATTTAGTCCCTCAAAGAAATAGATGTTTCTCCTCACAATCCTCTCTTAAATTAGCTTTATTCTTGATCCAGCAGTTGGCTGCCATCTTTCTCTCTCTGCTTCTTTTTCAAGAATTCCACATTTTGATCACTCACCAGCCAGTTTCACCTTTAATTTCTCCAAATTTGTGCTTTTTCTGAGGGAAAATTTTCTACATCTTTATCCCTTCACATAGTTTTTCCAATCTGGGAATTGTTTTCTTTCAATATTTCTGCTTCTTTTTCTTCAGGATCTTATTTTTTTCTCATCCTTAACCTCTCACTTCATTCCATGTGTCCCAGACGCCATCCTCACCTCAGTTTTACATTTGCTCCCACTAAACTTTCAGGCACAAGTTAAAAAAATTAAAGTGTTTTTATCTTTCCATAACCTGATTTTAGTATTTTCTGTGTTGCCAGAACTTGTGTGCTCTCTTTTTAATAAATCCCCCCCCCCCCAATTTTTGGCCACACTGACATTTCTGAGAGGATTTTGCTTGTTCTTGAGGCCCCAGGAAGCTGCTCCTGGCAAAATTTAGAGCTACTATTATTTAAGAGGAAGAAAAATAATATTTATTCTGCAAATAGTTGTTTAATATGTACAGGATTCCAGACAATATAGATGACTCCTATTTTAAAGCTATTTTAAAGATACTTGTCCTCTACTTCAGATGTTCCCTTAAGGTTTATCAGATCCCTCCATTAGAAAGGTAAAACAAAATTCAGTCCAGATCTTTCCTTTTACATATTAGAAAAGATAAATTGAAACTAAGGGTTTCTAGTTGACAGTCTCCTCTGTATTCTGTATAACAGAAATGCATCTCCACACTTTATGTGTGAAAAAGAGACTCAATTCTGTTACACAGAATTCCTGCAATTCCCTTCAAAATCCAAATTAAGGAATTTAATTTTACATTAATCAAACCTTCCCAATTGCATTGGATCCTGTTCAAATTAAGAAAGCTCCCTGGCATTTCTACTCAATCCATATCCCTTTGTTCCTAACTCGTGATTTGATTAACCACAATCTGCTGAATAAACCATACTTGGCTGGGTAGCTGCGGCCCATCAAACTGTAAGACATGTTTACACGCTACACAGGCTGGTTTCAACGAAACTCAGAAAAGCCATTTTGTACTTTGGAAACTATGGTTTATGGCTGAGCATGTTCTGTGAATCCAACATGTCATGGTTTATCTCATAAACCACCTTCTCTCTCCTGGCTACCTTTTGGTGAGGTACATCCACGCCCACCCACATCCATGATGAGATGTGTATGAAATGTTACTGTGCTTCTACAAATTGTTAACAGAAGGCTCAGGAGCCTGAAATGATGACTTCTGAGCCATCCGCACCAAATTCACCGTTGCGTGGAAGTGGCTGGAAATGGCACTTTAGCCCTTCCCCAAATCCCTGCAGCTGCCGCTCTGCATTTAATTGCCCCCAGTTCTTGCCTCTGCCCTGGGGAGCATTTTTCTCCCACTCCCACCTTCTCTGAACTCTAGAGCAGGGTCCCTCAACCTTGGTGACTTGAAGATGTGTGGACTTCAACTCCCAGAATTCCCCAG